CGATCGACGGGGAACGAAGGGGTTCGCGACGAGCGTGTCTCGATCGTTTCGCCGCGGATCGAAGTGACACACATACACAGACACGCGGGGACAAACGGGATCCACCGTTTCGTTGAATTTTCAGCCGACACACGGTGTGATGCGCTACTTCTAAGTTACACATAGGCCATCGATGAACGATCCGCGTTGGAAACGATAACGCGAGAATGTCGCGCGAAAAGAAAGTGTGTACGTTTCTGTATGTACGCGCGAATGCCTGTATTTATGAGCACAGTGAATGGATGTACGAAGGGTTTTGATTGGTTCCTAACAATATCAATTAACGACGTTATATATATATATATATATATATGTATAGCATTAGTAGAGAGTATAACTATTTAGGTAAGGTAAGGTAAGGTAGGTTAGGTAAGTAAACGCTAAACAAAGCTCAGTTGATTGTTTCGGGAGCGAGCACTTCACTCGATATTCTCACGTAGAATGTCGTTTCGCTAGCTCTTAGTACTTGTAAAATTAATTCGAGGGAGCGAGGTGTGTATGCGTGTATGCGTGTGCAACTGCGGAAGTCGATCTCCGTTCTCTCCTTCCTCGGTTTCACCGGATCACCGTTTGGTCGGCCGACAACCCCACCGATCGAGACCTCTATTCTTTCGATTCCCTGATTCTTCCGGTACCACTTACCCCATTCGGGAACCGGAAGAACGACCGCTCCGCCGCACGACGCGCTCTCGAACCTATTATTAGGTTCAACGTTCTCTATCGAGCCGTTCGAAGATCCTTCGAACAACGTTCGCCCGATCCGTTCCGTACGATTCGTCGGTGCTCGTCTTCGACGGCGGGGCATTAGCGGACGACCGACTCGCGACTTCAGGGAGGAACTTCGCTTGGTTTTCTACTCTTCGACGAAGACTTCCGGCAGCTTCGTAGCTTCGCTTCGTTCGACCCACCGCCAACGAGCTAATTCTTCGACGTCAGGATTGTCACGAACTCTGCGGAGCAATACCGTTTCGTATATACCATTAGTGTATCGTATGGAAACGAATAAATTATAGAAATACATTCATTGACGGCAGTCCTTTGATACCAAAGACAATAAAATAAAACCCGAGACTTTAGTCGAATCGGATATTTCACTTTCTTGTTTATAACACGAAGGTTCTTACGTTTTCTAATAATTTTCCTACTGATATTCAAGCTAAACGTCTATTAATAAACAATCTATTTAAAAGAAACGTTGATTCTAAGCTTGAACTACTAGATATCGCTATAAAATCTGAATTGATCCGATTCGCCTCTACATTCTATTTAGTCAATTCTGTCTTCCAATAATAACAAAAACAATTTAGCTCGAGTTAACAGTAACACTCTGTACATAAACAGATAAAAGACTCATTGTAGTCCTCTATCAGACAGTAAAGCTGCCTCCACAAAGCAATCGAAGAGAGTAACGCGAAGCACAGTACAAACACTGCGAAATACACAGAAAGCAAGTACCTTCATAATTCACCATCCCGTCTCCATCGAGATCCGCTTCCTTGATCATGTCGTCGACTTCCTCCTCCGAGAGTTTCTCACCGAGGTTCGTCATCACGTGTCGCAGCTCTTTCGATGAGATCATGCCGTCGTTGTTCTTGTCGAATACCCTGAACGGCACACGAGTATCGCGTTAACGACGACGATTCCGACACAATCCTGTCCTTTCGCGTTAAAGAGACTCTACCTGAACGCTTCGCGCAGCTCGTCCTCGCCGTCGGCGCCTTTCATCTTCTTCGACATCATCTGCAGGAACTCGTTGAACTCGATGGTCCCGTTCCCGTCTTGATCCACCTCGTTCACCATGTCCCGCAATTCCGTCTCTGAAACGGGGAATTGATCGTCTTTTTAGCCCGCGCGGCGGACCCGAGGCCGGCACGCGTCACGCCGACGGAGAAATTACGATTTCCGTCGGGTTTCAAATGACCCGCCCGTCCTCCTCGCGTCCCTTTTTCTAATTTGCCCGCGCGTAATGCACGTAGCCAACCCGGCCGAGCGACGTCGCTCCGCGGGAGACATTTAATTCCCCCCGGCGGATCCCCCTGGGGGCGAGGACAGAAAAGGCAGACATGCAGTTAATTACCAACGTTTGCACGTGCGCCTACCCGTCACAGTTTCTACCACTCGGAATCGCTCGAAAGTTAATTTTCCCTAAGCTCTTGTCACAGCCTAGTTTCGGGCGTTCCGCCGTTCGACTGACGCGACCCTCGTCTTAGAAAACCCTTCCGCCCGGCGCCGCTTGAAATATTCAATTAACGAGACGCTGAATTTACCTTTAGACTACGACGCCGGATCTACCGCGCTCGATATCGGCGTTTAATACTGAAACCCTGTCCCATTCGGGATGTCGGGAACAGGAGCGGTCGAAGCGAACGCAACCATCGAGATTCCTACCGATCGTTCGCAGGGAACGTTGGATAATTGCAGCATCGAGGACCTCTTCATAATTGCAACATCCCCGGGTTCCTTTTAACACACCGTAGCACTCGGCGACTGGTTGTAGCGTGTAACGCGATCCGACTATCGTCGAACTCGACGATTTCAACGTCGCTTTCCTTCCTATTCGCCTTTCTACATCCGTCAATCGCTTATTACACAAGCAATTACGGTCATAATTCTATAGTATTCGGTGTCATTTTAATCAGAACATAACGAATACTAAAGTTCCATTCGTCAAAAGTGAAAAATAAACAAGTTTTATATTTGAGTTAAAGATCTCAAGCTCATCGCGAGTCTTCCTTCTTCCTTCACTCGCATTGTCCTCTATCACGCTAAAATCTTCGTTCCTTAAGGTAGATCCGACTGTAGATATTCACAACTGCGACCTCCAGTCCCTTCGAGTGTTGCAATTATCCAAAATTCACATAAGATTCTCCCGCGATCACTCGCTCAATAAGCAGAGAGTATCGGCGCGTCGACGAACGATCGTTATCGTTAAAAAAGAGGATCCCCGAACAGCTGGCTACGATCTCGCGATGACTCGACGCCAACCTACTCGCCTTCCGAGTAACGTGGAGCTTTATGAACGAGTCTCTCGCGTTAGTGGCCGTGCGGACGATACACAGCGCGCCGGGGCCATTATATTTTTTGGTTGCACGCGGACAGCTTTCGTCAGCTCGTGGCTTTCGGCCAGATCGCGTTCCACGGTGTAACACGCGGACGGGGCCCTCCTCTTTCTCCCTCGTTCCGGCGAGTATCCATCCGTTCCACGGATGATTTAAGGTTCCACTTACCCGACGGCCTCTGTCCCAGAGATCGCATGACCACGCCGAGTTCCGCCATCGTGATGGTGCCATCCTCGTCCTTGTCGAACAGCATGAACGCCTCTTTGAATTCTGGAACCCAGAAAACCCGCGTCCCGCCGTACGCGTATAAATAACAACGCTGGAAACCGGTTACCGCGATCGTACGCCGATCACCCGAGATAACGGGTACACAAATTCGCCCGGATAATTGATTCTTCGGATAACGCGACGAGAAGCAAATGTGCGATCATAAAACGAAGCGATTAACACGCGATCGGTAATATAGATAAACATTGTTACGCAGTCTTGATACGTTCATCATGTCCCGATAATCGGTCCTCGAGATAACCGGCATTCGGATAATCGACGTTCCACCGCGCGCCCTTTGCACTTTGCATTATCAATAACCGACAAGTTCAAGCGATCGGCTGCGAAGCCTTCGTTTCAATAAATTGAATCCGATTGAAACGAATCGGGAACCATATCGCGACGTCCCCGAGCGATTCTTTTCCCACTCGAAGCGCGTCTCGATTCTTACGGCGACCACGAAAATAACTCTCGCGATTTCTCTCTCTTTTTATATATACGTATCTGTCCCTCTCTCTCTCTCTCTCTTTCTCCCTTCGTCCCTCTCCGTGTGTCCATACTTTCAACGGAGACTGTATTTTCCAATGCAGTCGCGGAGAGCTTCAGAAATTCCAGAGATCGAGCCGTAAATAACGACCGAGGGGAAAAAGTACGGCGGAAATTTTGGCAATAGAACGATACACAACGAACGCCTTCGTCTGGCGTCGCTTTGTTGAGAACTCGCGGATTTAGATGACTATTAATCATGGGGATGCTAGGCGCGAGCGTGTGTACCTATACGTGTGCACGCTCGGTCACGCGTTCCCGGTCGAGCAAAGCTGCTCGAAATCGCGCGAGCGAGCGAGCGAGCGGTCGGGCAAGTAGCCAGCCGGCACGGAATCCCGAGGGATAGTGTTATAAATTTTCTGGATGTCCGGACCGGCTCGTTGGGAGAACAGGGGACATTCGAAAGTACGCGGGACACGGTGATCTAACGATCGTCGCGCTTCGATCTCGGATTTAACCCTTTACGGACGGAGATTCGTCGAAACTGTTGAGAGTAAGCATTGACACGTTGAACCAAATCGAATCACTATAATTCATTGAATTAAACGGTGACTGTTGGAAAACATTTTTATATTATAAATAATGTCACCTAATGCACTGACATTCGACAAGATAAACGTGCAATACGAACAATAATTCAATATATCTTTTTTCGTTTCCTATATTCTGCTTCGTGAAATCGTGTGGCATTCAACGTGTTAAATATATTTTTAATGGTAAGAAAAGTGTATTCGTTGGTACAGTCTCCTTCCTGGCAAGAGTCAGTTTTACCTGAGGAGGACCATTTTTAATGTACTCTTCAGGCGTCTCGTTTTTTCGGGTTATTCGCGAGTTCGCAGTGAACGTTCAAGCAAGGAACAGCGTTCCTGTTGAGTTTTGTAAACGACCTTCTTCAAAACATATTAATAAATATATACTTAGTTTCAAACTCTGTTGCATTTATTTAGCAAATAAATATTCGACAGAAACATATAAAGCTGAATTACATATGAATTGCTTGATCAATAGAAAAAGAGGAAGCTACGTTCTGATCTCTTGCTGTTCGACTAATAACATCATTTGTTCACGAGTTAGTCTTCCAAATACGAACATTTTCGGGTTAATCGTTGGCAGCGTGGATGTGGGAGAACGGGATCTTCTAGGAAAGATGATTCAGAACTTTCAGAATACAAGATCAAGGAAATCGGGAGGACTTGCATGAATGAATTCGAGGTTTGCGTTAACCCCTTGGCTATTGTTGGCTTCTAAAAGCGCTTTAGAAATCTGTTTTCGGTTAGACGTATGAATCTGATCATTTTACGTTGGCTCGATTTAGTCCAATTCAGTGTTTCGATGGTTTTGATACACTTTCTTAGAAACGATGACGCAGAATTCTGCCGTAGCTGAGGGGTTAAGATATTTAATTCTGAGATCTTGTATAGAGCAACAGGAATTGATTTGACCATGTGAATTAGAGGCAATGGAATTAGTTGATCGTAAAATGGGGACTACGTGGAAATGATTTCAGTCTGCGCTGCAGTTGATTTTGTAATTTATCAGCAGCTCGGAGCAATTTTTGTAGTATCGGAAATTGAAGAATGTTATGTCATAACTTCACTTAGATCTTTGATTTTCCGTTTATGGACGAAATTTACATTATAGCAGTGGAATCTATAGAGTGCAAAGGGTTAACCATACGACGTTTGAAAAAAACTGCTGATCTGATTGATCCAATCCTGACCTTCTTGCAATTATTAGGTACCAGATATTTCTCTGCGAAATTATTAAAGAAACTGATTTAGCAATATGTAAACTGAATTGTAGATTGATTCAAGTCTCGACAGATGCACTCAGAGTGTCTACAAAGAAATTTCAAGAAGTTCATTTAACTGCTCGTTAGTTTCAGCGTTAAAGTGGCATTTAAGAGAACGTTTAATACGCAGCTAGAGCTGGTATCAATAGATCGCGAGGCGTATCGCGGCCGACAAACGCGAGGCTTTCGGTGAACGCAATTCGATGTTATCGTTCGTCGCGTTGACCGAGTCGCGTTCAGCCGGCGTTTATCATCTCGACGATGCATTAATGTGCACAAACGAGCGGGCAATTTCCCCGAGCGGGTCGGTAGGCCTCGGTGCGGCGACGCGTTGGCAATCGGCGATCTCTGGTCGCGTGCCATGGCGAAAAGTCGCGACCCGACGCGATCAGGCGGTTTAAAACCTCTCAGAAGTCGGGCCGAGAAGCCGCTTCTCGGACGCAAGGCCAATGATCGCGGTCACGTGAGGAACCACCGAAACACGATGTTTTATGCAACATGTTCCAGCGAGTCCTTACGTAAAGCCACTTTCGCAAATTGGACGACCTTTCGTCGGGCCTTCACGTGTGCGCTGAATATTTAAATCCCCTAATTCTCTCGCCGTTCGAATCGTTCGGAAGAGAATCGCTCGAGTCATTAATCAAACCATCGAGGAAGAGAGATCGATTGGCAGCCGGACTGTAACGCTGTTACACGGAACCGGGCTACTCTGTGAAACGATTGAAAAGGGAAAACGTAATATACCGCCAGAGCTTCCGTCGCGAATATTCTGGGAAATATTTGGCTGACTTGCTCCACAAAGCGAGATTTTAACGTTCGGAACAAGGGAACCGTAGGTATGATTGTCCAGAGACTACCGGTTCGTTCGCACGCTTGTTTTCTGCTCGCGAGGGGCGACCGAAACTTTTGGTTCCGTATAACGAGAGCCGCACGAAAAATGCCCGGGTCAACTGGAAAGGTTTACGGCATTGCGTCGAAAATCGTCAACACTTCAGGCGAGGCTCTAATTTACGAAACGACGGGCGTCGAGTGCCGGGAAATAGGCCGGCGCGTCGCGTTAGCATGATTTTCGACGAACAAGCGCGAACGCGAGCATAGTTGTTGGTCGAACTTACCGGCCACTTGATCCTCCGTGAGCCCATACTCGGACTGAAACAGAAAGAAGACGCACGCGTGCGATGAGTGGAGTGAAAAACCGGGCGGCCCCGTCAACGCGCCGCGTGATTTCGTTAAATTGTTATCGCGCTCGGAGCGTCGCAGTAGCATCTCATTAAAACTGAATACGCGCTCTCGGTTTATACTGCGCGAGCCTGTTTGGAGAAGGCCGCCAATTTCGGCCGAAATCTCGTTGGTTCGATCGAATTAACGCGTTGACTGCCATCGGGATTTTCGGCGTTTTAGATGGGCTCGTGTAATATGGAACGCCGGATTTTGCGGGAGGAAGGAAACCTTATTTAATGTTTTAAACGACGTTTTTCGATCAACATCTTCTATTCGATACACTTCTGTCAACGTGTTCTTAATCGATATACTCCTTTCCTGAAGAATTCTGAATGTTTAGGACGAAGAAAGCCTGGAGATATCGGTATAAACTGTTGATAGTTTATAGGGTTACCACGCAGCTCATTTTGCAAAACATCACGTTTTACAAATCAACGCTGTGCTTTTCACAGCATTGACTCCGAATGCTTCGTTTATGCTTCCACCGCTTCCATCATTATTTCCAAGATAGAATTCATATAAGAAAATTATACGAAAGTTGGTACGCGTGTTTTCAAGAAACGATGCAATTACTTATTTCGTACTATACAACTTAATATAATATCGCCTAATTATTCTTCCATAGCAAACATACTAACACACTATCGGCGGGAAGGGTATTAATACCTTTTATGCAGAACGTACGCTAACTGTTAGTAAAACACTTACCAATGCTTGTTTTTTTCATTGTCACTAATTTTTGGGCAGGAATGATGTTTTTGGTTGTTTTTCGTGAAGCCTGACCAGTGTTTAGTCCTAAATTTATTAATTTTCAAGAAAAAAAAAACTAATTTTCGCCCGCTATACGTGTGAGTCAAGCTCATGATGTTACCCGCCGATAGTGTGTTAGTATAAACAGCAACGGAAGTAATTGTCAACGATTCGGTTATATTTTCCAATCACTCACATTACCAAACATCTTCATTCGACATCGAATACCATACAATCTGCTCGCTGCGAACATTTCCAAGCAACTCGGAAGCTCCCGATAATCGCTGACCGCCGCTGCAGTCAACGCGTTAATGACTCCATCGTTTTACCCCCGGTAATCGACGCACGGAATGATTAATTCGCGTTTTTTTCCTACTCCCTCCCCGGGACCCGGCGAAAATAGGAATTCGGTCGGAATCCGAGGAACGTCTGGCCCGCCTCCCTCCGCGGCTGGCAAGTTAATTAATATGACTCGGCCCGATGCGGTACACGGGCGAACGTGTTTAATCAAACACAACCCGCTGCGTTACGAATACGCAGAATTGGCGGAATTAACGACCGTGTCCCAACTTGCAAATTGTTCGAGGCGCGGCTTATCCGCTTCCTACACGCGGCTGTGCTCGACATTGTTAAATCAGCATTAGTAGACGGAGGATTAAGGGACATATGCCGTTAACGCGATTACAGGAACGTTGACTTATCAGCTGTACGACGGTCCGTTATCAGGCGACAACGCCAAACCTCCCACGACAGTCGGTCTCTCGACGAGCCGGGACACATCAAGGAGTCTTCGAATTTACCGCGTTGCACGTTTAACCTCTTGCCTTGCGATCTGTTTCTCGACTATGATCGATACATCTACTTTGTCATTAATAATTTATTGAGGAGAGAAGAATTCTAGGCATATTCCATGTTCATGACTGATTTAGAGTATAGTAATTAACGACAGAAGAATAATTTAATTGAAATTCAAGAGAATCGAGTAATATTTAAGCTTATTGAATTCTGTTTAAAATCCTCACCACGTGTCTGACATGTTATTATAAGGCAAGGGGTTAATCCTTTGTATTCTAAAGGTGACTCTTCATCGTTCGATTTGATATAGCAAAATTATAACGTCCTATGCAATATTAATCCTTTGCGCTCCTATGTCGACTCGACATAGTTTTATTCGCAGATGTGCTTCTTTGTCAATATATTGAAATAAATTATATTGTTATGTTACTTTCAATATTATTAGTAAGAAGAATCGTTTGCAATGCTCACTACAAACTAACTATTTTTTAAAATGCATTTCAAATAAAATGTAGTAATACAGAGTTGTCGAGGAGAAAATGCTAAAGAAATTCGGGGTGCAAGGGGTTAAACTGTGAATAATTCATAAACGTGTGAAATATAGGAACAATAAGTTTGTTTTTTAACTTATGTATGTTCTATCGTTCAGTTTGTTTCGAATAATGTCGCTTATGAGTCATAAATGTTGAATATTTTTAGTCAAAGGCTTCCAAATGCAAAGGGTTAACATTGCTCAAGGAATTCGCGCACGAAACACGACAGCGAAATGGCCGAGCTTCAAACAGGAAATGGAACACCGAAGGCTTCCTTTCCGACGCTCGGTTTCATTCGTTAGCGCGCGGTGTCCTGTATCGGCGCGTCCGCCATTCATTCGGCCCTTGGCCAATTGCCTGTTAAGCCCGCCGGCTGCCTGCTTCGGCTATAGAAGCTTCAAGATAGTAATAATAATAGTATTAACGTCCCAGTTGCATGAATTACGCTTCTCGGAACATTGTATTAATATTTCGTGAATCGAGTTGGATTGCTGGCGAAATCCTAAGGGAACTGCTATTACGGTTCGGGGAAAACGAATCTGGGACTATGGAAAATTAAAAGAATGTTAATGGGAGATAGCGGAATACTGAGAATGTACAAATATAGTTGCGAATAGAAGATTAAGTATAAAACGGAATCTACGAGAAGTAAATCTGTCGAAATTTCGTTAGTGTTATTCAGCGTGCCTGCATTAACACGTTCACGATGGTACATAGTCGATTTATAATATAAGGAATCAACCTTAATAACTAAATTATTTATCAAATTATTTATTAACCCTAACGGACGTTTATTTTCCACTTTATTCTATCGTTCCTAGCAAAACTTAGTGTGTCAAGAACAGAATTACATGAACTTGCATAATTGCACTCAAAATCGACAATTGTTACGAAATAATGTTTAAAATATTCAATTTCCAATATTCAGGTTCCATAAATCTAGTTAACGTTCATCCACGATTAGCAATTGAAGTCCGGAAACTGGAGACGTGACAAAAGGATGTCTAACATGATTTCAGCGAACATTGTTATTATCATGATCTACGATTCAACAGACAGAAACATGTCCCAATGCGAACGCGTTAACGGACAGGACACCTTTATTACGAAACGTGCAGCCCGTCGTGATCGTGTAACTCGGTGACCGTTTAGAGACGTTGGTCGAGAATGACTTCCGCGGATTACGTCTCCCAAGATATCCCCGGATATAATCGTAAGCCCTGTGGGAAGGAGACAGAAGTCCGTCGTATCTGTCATGCCCGTGGAAACTCTTGGTTCGATGGTTCGAAGCTTCCTCGGAAGTAGACGGAGTTTGGTATTCAACTGGGTCACGTAGTTTCCCAGCGTTTCCGAGAGGGGCTCGCATAAACTCGCGAAAAGTCGGCCGGGCTTTCGCGAGTGTGTACGTGTCCGCGTCGCGTTTATACGTCGGCCCGATCTCTTTGAATTCCGATTCGCGGGCGGCGCGAATCCCTCTCGCCTCGCGGTTTCTGGCGCTCGTTAGCTCGCTAACGGCGAATTAACACTCTGCGCGGCACACAATTACCAACAGGCCTATCGGTGACTCGCAGTCTTGTCTTAAACAAGAACTAATCGAATAACTAGATTACGTTAGCGGATACCACTTGCTGATTCACGATTGGCATTACTTTTGAAGGTTTCGTTGACACTGAACGTATAGACACTTCGCATATAATTATAATTGATCGAATAACTGGTTATACAATAAAGGAAAACAAATGAATTTCTCTTAGTGGAAACGGAAACATTGAAAAACTGATTAATCCGACAATAGAAAAATCGATATAGAGCGAAATGCTAGGAAATGCAGAATTTTCAATCGAACTTTAAAATCGGATATTCCGATCGTGGAACGTTCAGCGTTAAGAAATCTTTCGACATTGATTAATTAAACTGTTCGATAACTGCTGCCAGATAACGCGTTAACCTCAAACAGAAGTGAACGAGGATGCAGCTTGTTTTCAAGGTGTCGCGGCCGTAACCGTCCTCGGAACGCTCGGAAACGCTTACGAGATTGCTTCGCTTACGCTTCTTTGTCGGATCTCGCAGTCTATAGTGCTCGTCAGCCTGCGCAGCTTCCCGTAAGCGGTCGTGTACTTCTTCTCCGTGTCCGTCATGTCGGGCGACGCTTTATTATTCACCGATGATCACACGTCTCGCAGCACCGTCTCGCATTCACGTCCACCTCTGCCAGAACTTGTTTCACCGTGAAACACACGTCACGCCCGGCCCAGCCGTAAATCTTTTTAATCGCCACCCCGAGGCGTTCAATTTCGAGTCCCCTCGGCTTCTACGCGCGGACCTCGGCGCGTAGTGCTCGCGACGCGTCAAACGCACCAGCCCGACAACACCACCGAACACAAATAATATTTATGGACCAGTCAGCGGCAACGTCACCGGTTGTTTGCGCCGGCCAGGCTGTTCGACGCGTCTCGAGTTCATTCTGATTCCCCTTCCTCGCCGCACGCGGAACATCGGGGCGGATTCGCTCGGCAACCACCGTATAGATTCCGTTTATCGCAATCCGTGGATCACCGCTGCTGCGAGATCGTCTACGAATAACGAAGACACTTTCTCGAATTGCGCTCGCGAAGCTTCGTTAAGGGATGAAACTCTTCTCGTTGAAGAAGTTGTTCTCCAGCCACTTTTCCATAGCTCCGGGTGTTATTCAGCGAAATATGAAAACAGCCGCGAACTCTCAGCTAACCTTCGGCTGTTTTTAACCTGTCAGAGGTCCCCGACGATTGGCCGACGATCTCTTCTTTATTTATTCGGCTCTCTCCGTCCTTTTCGCTCTCGCAGCTCTCGGTTCGCTTAATGGCAGTACGCTCGGTGATTCCATCTGCCAAACGTGCGTCGCGGGAAGACACGGATCCGGCTGTCCATCACCTCACGTCTGTTTCGAGTGACCGTCACCTCGTAGACGAACCGCGGAATGCCGACGTACGGTCGACGCCTCGACGGACGGACGGGGTCGGGCGGGTTTCTGAATCGACGGTGTCACGCGCGATTTTGGCGGCACGACGACCGAGACGGGAATGCGCTTTGGACGCTCTAACTTTGGGCGATCTTATCGTCCTGCCGATCTCTAATTGGGACAAACCGCTCGTGCCAGATGGAATTGAGTTTCTTGAACCGCCGTTTCACCGCTGGCACATGAATTCCGATAATATGATTCTTTACAGCTGTTTTCGGGACGTTTAGCGAATGCTAGTGGACCAGGTATCTAGATGTTCAATCAATGGGAAATACGAAATAGTCGAATTAAAAAGTAAGAAACATCAGCGTTTTATATTTCACGTATTCTTTCTGCGGTAAAGAGGAAGAATTATTAATTATATGCTACCACGTTATTTATTGAATTCTTATTGAATAATCTCATTCGACGTCAGTTGTCCGACGAATTCTGATTATTTCCAAGTAATTCAGAAGCTCCGATCATCGGTGACTATGGCAGTCAACGCGCTAAAGCCAGACGAATCGCGTAAATCGCATCGTGCCCGTTTGATCAGCTCGTTCCGAGACTTTACGCGGCCCGCTCGATTTTCCCGATCGCGGCGAGACCTTTTGTCGAGCATTCCTCGGCTAAATGGATTACCAGAAGCCGTCAGCGGAGTCGATCGGCAGTTGGAAAGGAGTGTTTGTTTTCCTTAGCGAGAGCATTGATTCACCGCGGAGAAGGTGGAGCGGTCCGAAGCTATTTCCGGCGGCGGCGCGACGAAAAATCACGGCCATCCTGACCCGCTTTGTCGAACGTGTCGCAGAATCGGCCGCGCTCACGAACCTTCGATCCCGGCCGGAATATTCAGCGCGCCGCGTTCTCGGGGGGACAATGGGAACGGGTTAATCTGGCTAATGGGGCGCCCGACGCGTGATCCGATCTTGCGTCAGCGAGTTAATCTTTGCTTACGACATTCGCGTGGGTTAAGTGGACGCTTCTGCCTTCTCCAATTGAACGCCGTTACAATGGCGCATCGACTGGCGCGTGATATAAGATCGCGAGATGCCACCGTCGCGCGTAAATCGCTCGCGTTCTTAGACTCGTGCTACCATCTAATGGGAGAGCACTTTTAGAACCCGTCTGACCACCGGCGACCGCTTCTACTGCTCTCCGTTTAGTCGGTACTATAGTCCGCTCGTAGATTAACGGAACATCTAGGAAATTCACTTTCCGACGGATTCACGCTGCGGTGTTCGACGGTATTCATAGTGTCACAATGGAACGTTATCGCGTTCTCTGTAACTCATTCCCGAATGAAACTTGCTTTTTTTCTGGTTTATACAGAAGACTTCGACACCTTTATAATCCGTTGCCGATACGTCGATCATTCGAACAGTAAATTCAACGGATCCCCGTTATACAACCTTCAAACGACTGGCGCCGCGTCATCAATATAACAGTAGTCTCAAGGAAAAACGAAACGTTAACGATTCCATTATAATACTCTGCACCGCGAACCGTCTATTGTCTGACCAGTTACGACTGGTTCTACTCGCGCAGCGATTCGTTCGTAATAGAACCGAGAGGATAATCACTCACCAAATTGATGGTAACGATGAGATCGTACTGCTGCCTCTGTCCCTTCTTCTTATTCTTGCCAGTCTTGACGGAGACCGCCTTGGGCGTGACTTTAACCTGTCCCTTTTGAGCGGTGGGCTTCTGGGCCGGCTTCTGCGCGACCTTCGCGCCGGGTGCTCCCTTCTGCGAGGACGCCAAGGGCGCCTTCTGACCCGAGGGTCCCTTCTGGTTCACGTGGCCGACGCCGTCCGCGGGCTTGTTGCGAGCCTGTCGTCCGGGAAATAAAAGAACATCGGTTAGATTGCGACTGCGATCGATAGCTGCAATAAAGATAGTTGCACCGGGGGAGGCGTATCGACGGTTTTCCACGCGAATGCGATTCGACGTGAAATCTCGGGCAGAACGAGCAGCGGCGCCGTTGCCAATCGAATATTCCTTTTGACCGTGATGCGATTAAAAATGTAGCTGGCCCTCCTCCTCCTCCTCCTCCTCCCTCTTCGGCGTCCGCAACCTTGCCAGGATTAAACGAGCTTCCCTCCAAAATGTCCCCTTTGTAGCCGACTTTTAATTACTCGCGAACGATTCCCCCCGACGCTGGACTGCAAAAGCGACCGCCCCGCCGGACGCATAGATTTATCGAAAGTTCTCGGCATCGAAGGATTCCGGAACGATCCTTCCGACGCGCCGGAGGATCGAGCGAATCGTTGCTCAACCCCGGGGAAAAGTTCGCTTAGATTTACGAGCGGCAAGAGCCGGGCAAAGCGAGCGCCGGGAACGGCGAAAATATTGCTGTTTACCGATCCTCCCGCGCCCCGAACCGCCGAAACTGGGGCGCCGCCGATTACAGATCTATTTCCCTGCATTCGGCCCACTCGCGCCCGATACCCTCCGCTTTCCATCCGCCCAGCAGGTCGGCGACCATTTCGAGCCGCTGGATCTCGCATTTCCATTCCGCGATTTTTATTCTCTCACCGCGGAACGAACGGCCACCGTTTACCGTGCTCGACACGCCGGAAGCGTGGCCATTGTCCGCTGCCAGGGCGCCGCGCCGATCGGCGATCGTTTCCAATCTTCTCGTAATTAGTCGAACGAGCTCGTCTAGCGACCGAGCGGGGGCTTCGATCGGGGAAAAGATTTTTCCGATACTCTCGCCGGTACCGGGGGAAAATGGCGGCGACCGCTAACGAGAAAGAATCTCTGAAAAAAGAATCAAGTGTCTCTCTCGGCGAGGACGACGCGGACCACCTCGCCCCGCCCGTTTTCGCCCGACGGCCGGGGCAAAAATTCGTTTTCCTAAGGTCGCCGGGCGAACAATACCTTTAATTACGAGCGAGCGTCGAGTCAACATTTTCGAGGCCGGGATGCGACGCGGCCCGTCATTGTCTCACGGGTTTCTGCTAATGACACGCCACCGTGGCTGCTCGGTAATCTCCTGGATTCACGGGGTGCGCCGCCGAGCCTATTGTTCCATTTTTTTCGGTTCGTTTTGTCGGCGGGCTCTATCGGCGACCGCGATGATCATCAGCGCGGGAGATCGGTGGCTTTTTCGCTGTGTCGATGAATGTGGGATTGCTGATCGTGGTATTTCAAGTTTGGTGTTTAGTAATATTTGTGATGATTCGTGGAGAGAGAGATTTAAGTGATTTACGAATGCATCGACAATCAAATGAAGAGACGAAGATTCGATATATTTTAAGTTTTATGTAAAGCTAGACAGAATTCTGTAATTTAAATCCTAGACTCGTTGCTCTGCCCGGGAAAGTCCCGAAAAATCCGAATTTGCGTATCGACCCGCAGTCCACGAATAATTCCGGCGAAATGCTGTCGGACGAAATAAAATAATCGGCACGACAAATATTTTCGACAAAGCTTCCCGGTGGTAGTACAGCGATTGCGTACGCTGAACCTAATATTTCGCGTGACAGCGGCAACAAACCGATTCGAAGCAAATAGACCGCCTATCGGCGAAGCTATCACGGCCACGGACTTCTGGCCGCAATTTCTAAAATTAAACGGCTCCCAGCGTGACTGGTTTACCTGAATTTTTCCGGAAACCGTTGGAAAAACGAGCGGAAATCGCCCGGGATAATGGTGGATCGATTCGAATTGAAAATTTCGGACGCCTGACAGGAACAATCGATGCGGCCAGTAAATCGAATATCGTCGTTACCGTGGAACGGCCCGGCAGATACGAATCTCCGGGAACGCGTCCGGATTCCGGCGCCTATCGCAGGGAAATAAATCGAGTCGGTTGATGCAAACTGCTGGCCACCGGGAGATAGAGGCTGCGAAGATACTTCGAGGACCCAGCGACACGTTCAGCGAATTCCTCTTCGATATCGGAAGCGAACGATGCAGAGGAATTCGATGGGAGATAGAGTTTCTTAATACGCCGACTGCCACGAGAATTCTGAGCGTCTTATATAATCATTTGGCACCGGAGTTCTTACGCTACGCTATTATCTAGTTACTCGTGTTACCAAATATTAGGCACCAGTAGAAGTTCGTGCGGTTGCTTGTTAGCGATGAATTACTACGTCGAATGTAGCACGTTTTATAGAGCAAAATACATAAAATAGAGAAAATATAATATTAAATCATTTGATAGCGTTGCGTTGTCACTATTGCACGTTCATCTAGCTGAATGTCACCGTATTAGGTAACATCATTTATAAGTGTTTTCAAATAATCGTTTAATTCAATGAACTATAGTAATTTGGTTAGGTGCGACCATCATCGCGATCAACGTGTTAATGTTCGATTACAATCGGTATTTCACTAGTTTAACAAATGAAATATTAACAGCGAGTTACGTTTATACCGTTGCTACCGGATGAAATAAAATGGCTCCACAAAAACGTTCGCCGCGTTTAAATTCTGATTTACGAACCCGCACGAACTTTGTGGGGCACTTAATACTCCATTCGACATCAATCTCCTTATAGCAACAGTTCTCAAGCGATTCGTGGGCTGCGATCATCGATGACCGCATCGGCGGTCAGCGTGTTAACAGAAGTCCCTGTTCCGCCGCAAAGAAGCGGCCGAACGATGCCACGTAACGATCGAAGGGAGAGATGAGGACAGGGAATAGAGTTCGTCGACCGTTTTGTCCAATTATCCGGCAAGGTGGACTCCCCTCTAAATATAGAATGACTCATGAGATACACAATCGGTATTGGACTCGTTCTAATAATACCGCGAGTTTATTCAAATAATAATTCAGCGGTGAGGCGGGCGGCAGGAGCCGCGTGGGCGTAACTGACGAGATAATTATAGCGTTCGCCGTCTACCGCGTTCTTACGAAAAGCACTATATCACCGGCCACGCGGCCCGGAAAAAACGCGGCAAGAACTGCACATCCCTGCTCCCGTTCGCTGCAAGTGGCAAATTTTTCCGTCGCGTTGCATCGGGTTACACGGTTGCGCAACGGACGTTCCTGCGCGTTCCACGTTAACAAGGGAAATCTAGCGGATTTCGACGATCCGATGACAACCGGCGGATCAATTTTGACTTGTATTCCTTCTGCGCGACGAGAACAGTTGGTAAAATCCATACACGATCGATCTTGCGAACCTAGACGACCAAATTCGAGTATTCTCCGCTTCTTTACACTGTCTCCGTATGGAATGCTTCTTGGAAACGAGTGCTACAGCTTCTAAACGAAGTTGCATACGTAATTTTCTCTATGGTATACAGGAAATCCATTGTCCGACGCGTACGACACACCGCGTGCTCGCGTTTCCCACGAGCCCACTCGATCTCGTCCCGTTTCTTTTCACCGCGATCGATCGTCGAACGAGTGTTCCCTTGTCCGGCGTAGCCGGAGCCGCCGCGCGAGCCCAGTCGTCCGCCTGGTAATTGTTTCCAACGATAACTCCCGGAATTCCTGAGGCCGCGAGGATATTAAATTTCTCGTGAACCGATAAAAAGAATCGGCGATATATATTGCGGCGAGCGACGGCGGCGGCGGGCGGTTGAATGGAAACCAGTAGTATCATAGTCTGGAATGTTTTGAAATAGCACCGAGCACACCCCCACTTCTTTCCGCCTCCGACACCGACTCGGCTACCCGGCCCGTCTCCTGCGCGCCGCGTCTCCGCGGCCGGACGAAAATTTTATTGCTTTTCCCTCAAAGTTTTTGGCAGGCTCTCCGAGCCCACGCAGAAAACAGCCACATAACGGCGGCACCGTGTAATATACGTTGCGTAATGCATCGCGTTTCCCCATTTTCGGCTGCAACGTGGAAGTTTCAACCAGCAGAAAAATACCGACTCTCCTGAGACGGCTGTTCGTCGGTTATACGTACGAGGATGATTTAGGAACGAAGGACCGCGAGGCGATAGAATTCCAATGAGACGCGGTGCATCGTTGTTATACTGGCACGTGCCACGATCAACCCTTCACCGAACGATTTGTAGCTGCGATAAAAGATGATCGTTGCTAACAGCGTGAAGCTGATGGGATGACAGACGAGTGTCAGTAACGATCGTCTTCTAAACGAAGGATGGCCATGAGGGTAAAATTCCGTTGCCTTCTAGCGAATGCAAGGTTTGACGAGAGCGGTGACGGGGAAATCGAGGGACAGAGGAGACCGAACCGCGAGGCTTCTATGATAGCGACCCGGCCTTGAGCCGGCCACAGTTTTCGAGCCCGTTGGTTGGCCGTTTCCACGGAGAACCGTAGCATTATAGCGGCGCGAACTGGCGTCGCCTCACGCTGCGAGCTGCCGTGAATTTCGACAGCTCGCAGGAAGGGACGCGAGAAGAGAGATTCCTCGTCTCCCCTTCCATGGGCGCTCGGCTAAGCTTATAAAAGATATATCCAGTGCGGAAAAGCCGTTAGTGCGAGAGAACGAGGAGACACAGCGTGGAAGTTGCCGCGGCAGGGAAAGAGAACGCCGGAAGATGGTTAGTTCCCGACGTTAACGAAGTGCGGAAGCCTGAACCGTCCACCTTTACCTCGCGTGAACGCGTTAATCGGAGGTCCGCGCGTCGGAACAGCGGAGGACCAGGATTCCCAGGGAACGTCCGACGGTCCGTCGATTCTTCGGATACCGGAAGTCGATCGACGGAAGCGAGAATCGAATCTAGCCGCCGTCCAGAGCGGTCCTCCGCCGTTCCCGCGGCGCGACAGACGAAACAGTGTTCCCCCCGTTTCCCCAATCGTCGCGCAATTCGGTCATGTACTCGCCGACTGAAAGTTCTTGTCTGTCTGTTTCAGGATGAGGAACAAGTGAAAAGTGAGTACCGATCGCGGAGGCGGAGCGGGACGGGCTCCGCGTGCAAATAGACTCCGTATTTCATCCGGTCGCGTCAACAAGTATGGTTTATTTGTCGGAGTGGAGGGAGGGAAGGTCGCGAGGCGGCCAGTACGAAATTTAGGTCGCGGCCGACGTGTATTTCACGTCGGCCAGACGTCGGCCGACTTCAAACGCCGGTCCGCTCGTCAAGATTTGTCGTCGCGACGTGGCGGAGCTCGATCGAGGGGATCGTTCCCGATTTATCGCGGTCGAACAATGCTCGCCGCTTCCTGGGATTCCTTTGATGACCGTGCACACCCACTCGCCCGGTGTTTTACGGTTAGCAGAAGCCGCGCCGCGTTCCTTCGCGCTCCTCGTTGCGCAATCCGGCTTCCTATCGCTAAATAAACCGCGGATTGACTGTGCCGACCCGTTATATTAATACACCGCTCTGGCACGTCGTGTAAATAAATGCTGGGCCCGCGATGCGTTCCGTGCTCGCCGTGCGAGCCGGCTGTAATGATTTTCTCGCGAAATCCGCTGGCCGCCTCTCCCTCCTGGCCATCTTTCTCTCCGCGAGCCGTGATACAGCTTCCAGACGCTTCGAACGGGAGAGAGGAGGGGAAGCGGGATCGCTCGGTCGGACCATTTATTTCCCCATCGAGACGTCGAAATAGCGATCCGTTGTATTTTACAGTGCTCAGGAGGGCTTTCTCCATGTTCGACTCCACCAAGTCGGGGAGCATCGAGAAGGAAAAAGTGAGGACGATCTTGAACACCCTGGGGCACACTTTCGACGATCACGAGCTCGAGGTGCTACTCAAGCAGGAGGACGAAGAGGGTATCGTATTTTCCGAGTTCTCCTTTCCGACGCAATCTTTAACCCTCGATTACCGCCGTGCTTCCCCGTACGTGTTCTGTTGTGATCCGGGTGAACGACGCGAAGTCCGATTCGTTAATAATTATATTTCGGCTTTTGTACGTATTCTCCAGATATAACACATCGAACGACGCGGAAACAGACAATTTCGGGCAGACCGTTAACCAACAGGGTTGAAAGAATAACTAATTATCCTAGAGATTCTAATTCTTGTATACTGAGCTTTTCGCTAAGGAGGGGATGTCGGTGACCGTTGGTACCTGATGACTCGTTATAGATGACTAGTCCTGGATGAGACATTTTGTGTATTCTATCTAGGATTTTGGACTTGTAAAATACACGCTGAGTAAGATATTTTGGACGCGGCGGGTCTAGGACGCTTATCTATGGTGCGTCATTAGGTTGGCCATCCAACAGTTCCAATGCGCGTGCATTTAAGAATCTCTCGATCGATGGCCGGGCGTTCGCGGATCGATGCTCCGTTCGACCGAACGGGGCCAAATAATTCATAATATAATGAGTGGAAATGCGCCGGAGCGCGTTATGGGAGCAACGAAAGCCGCGAGCCGAGGCTGACGCGGAAACTTTCGTAAACTTTACCGAAGGTGGCTCCGCGTGGTCGCCGCGGCTTTTCTTTCTATCGATTCCGATACGTACGTTCGGCTATACCAGCCTTCCGCCGGCGACACTTTCGCGTTGTTACTTCCAGCTAAATCAGGCAGAAGTCGGAAAGTAATCTAACTCGACGGAAACTCCGTTTAATGAAGAGAAACTCGGCTCTAACTCTAATCTATCGACTCACGAAACTTTTCCAAAGGAAAAATCCATTAGAAGACCTAACTCTGTATAATGCAAGAGAGATGTTTCCAACTATTTCGCGATGTGCCTTTAATTTGCTTAAAGTAGTCCGAAGAAACTACAGTCGGCGGAGCTCGTTTGAAACGGGCAAACAAGAACGACGAGCAACATATTCGACGATGATGCTACTGAGTTTATTACCGCTCGAACCACGATCGACTTTCTCGACGACTCTACGATTTTTACCATCTCTGAATGAGTCACAGACCTAGAAACAGCCTGGCAAACTAACACTAAAACTACCGACTAATTACATTGACTTCCCAAAATTCCTCTACGAAAACTTCAAGATTGCATCTATCGAGACTTTAATCAACTTACAATTCAGTTTTCGTACTAAATCAATTTCTTCAATAATTCCTCACAGAAACATCTATTTTTAACACAAAAACTACCGTACCAAAATGACTGCTTTCGATTGTTTTGTTTCGCAATTATACATCTTAAAGCATTGAATATTCGAAATGATCTTGAAAATAAATAACTTCGACTTGAATACTATAATGAATCTCTGAAGAAACCTTAAATAATCTATTGCTAGAATTTCTATAGGGATTACATATCAATTTTATTAAATCCTCGGTAGTTCTGGTGTTAATTCCAAAAAGAACGAACCAGTTTTATCCCGTCTAGTAGTTCTAATGTTCAGATGCACGTACGATTTCCCACATCCACTATGACAGCAAAAGGCTCCGTCGCCTTGACCCGGTCTGTACGGAACAAAAGATTGACAGAAATCGAGAAAAACGTCACCGACGACCGAACCGGTCCCTAAAAAGTCTGATTCTTCCCGGTCGCTATTGAGCCGACTCGAAGCAGCGATTCGCGAGACACCAGCGCTGATATCGCGACGTTTCCTTTGACGAGGCTTTCGCAGGGAAGAATGGCCCCTCCAGGATACTCCGACGGATACATCAGCCGACGAGTCCCGCCGCGACGTGCTCCTTTTTACCGTGGAAGAGAATTGGGTCGGGCGGCCGCCTCCTCCTCGACGCGGCGCATACTTTTCCCCGTATTTCATCCTGTTCGCCGTGTATCGACTGCGAGAGGGTGCAGCCCCCCCCGCGTCTGACGTCGCGCCCCGTCAAAGAGCTTCTCACCCACGCGATCCCGTCCGCCGAGAAGATTAAAACCGGTCCACCCGTTAATTTGAAAGCCCGGAGGTTGGTCGAACGATTCCGTTTCGCCCGTTTATTAATCCGCGCCGGTGGAACGGCGACTCTCCCGCGTACTCCGTCGCTGTCCGCGCGAGCTGGCGAGAGAGCCGCGTTAGCGCGTTACCAGCTGACAGTTATCGAACGCTTTATTCATCACCGATCAATGCCCGAGGATTTTTCGATGGGATTTCCGAGAGACATCCCGGCGAAACTGAAGGGGATTGCCGAGGGCTCGGAGAAAGGCACGAGGAACACGCTTTCGAGTACAACAAGCGCGGGGCCGTTGCGATCTATAACGGAACTTCCGTTCTACGCACCTCCCGGGAAGGAATGGTGCATGAAATTTTCTGTACCTGCATGCATTACCATGTAATCACAAGGAATTACATAAATAAATAAGAGGACAGGTACAAGCTGAGAGTCGCAACGACCTTCCACTCGTTCGAGGATTTATATGCTGTTCTTGATACAGTTGCACTGTTAACTAGGCGAGTCAGCGTGTAGTTGATGCGAAACACGATGATAGATTGTTTTTAACAACGATATTGGGACTGTACAGCGACTGGATGTTTGAGCATACCGATTGGTAGCGTTAGAATTTGAAGATTTTCCATGGTGGATCCTGAAGTGAATATCTTTCGCTGCGTTCTGAGCGTGGGAGGAGGTTACTGCCACTGATGATCGGGGCTTCAGAATTACAAGAATAAATGATGGGAAATGTTCAGTGGCGTGAGTTATTGGACAACAGTGTGACGTTAGAATTGTGATAGCAAGTAATTTGTAATTCTTTCTTTGTATCCCTGCTGCGGAAAGAATCAGTGACACATACTGCGCTGGTGTTCCTCGTGGCAGGCAACGTGTTAATTATATTTCGTGCGGCTGGAAATTACCCAGCCGCAGTCCCGTCGCGACACGTAGGCGAAACGTTTCCTAAGAAGTCGCGATCGAACCGTTCTAGCTAGCGTTTCCGGTCCGGTCGAGTTCGAACGCCGGCTATTTGAGCCGCTCAATGGTCAAACCGATTAACTCCACTTTTCGAATTTCTTGAAATTTTATCCTTTATGTTCATGTTCAATGAATTCCTAACTTTATGTAGTTGACATAAATTCCCTTATTGCTGGGTTTAGTTCCATGAAATTGAAATTCTTTTGCTCACATCCAATTGCAATAATAATAAACATTATTAGAAGAATATACTATTTTATACATTTCACATGGTTGCTAAATAAACCCTTAGCACTCCAGGTTGTTTTGTAATCTATCGGTAACTAATTTTTATAGTACTCCTAGCGGAAATAAATGCTATAACATTTCTTCGATCTTTGATTTTCCTTAGTGCAAAATTTGGATGTGTGGAAAATTTAATAATTGTAGGGTAGTTTCTTTAAGATTCATTAAAATATTTAATGTTATAACTGGTGCAATATTCAAGTTCATAATACAGAGTTCAAAGGGTTAAGCCTATATCTGAAATAATAAAGAAAAATACATTTTATAATATTTATATAATTTGACGTTTAAAGAGGAATTTGAAAAGTCAATGTACACGATTGCGGAATTTTTCTCTGCTCTCTGTTCTGCGAAGTTAATCGATTTGCCCGTTGAGTAGCTCATTTAACGACGACGTTGATCCGTGACACCGATCCAGACGACCGGAATTAGCGTAAACCCTTGAGATCGCTTACCAATCGAAACGCTCGCTGGCCGATCGCGAGCGGCTGCTTTGTCAGCGCGCATTATTATGCAGATATTGTCCTCCCAGCGGCGATCGAACCGCCGCACGGTGTATTCCGGTCAGTGCCGACACGGATCTAGCTATCTACCGAGATCCAGGTCTGTTGACCGTTCCACGATTCCGTACTTTCATCGCGAAGGGTATCTGGCAGAGTAAGCATGGAACGTACACGCCCACGCCAATTGTAATATTTATGTTTGGGGAACGATGCTGCTCGCTTAAAATGCCATTCCGAATGGCTTCGAATTTCTAATGCTTCTTCCGAACACGCGTATATAACTGGCTTCATGGACATACGAGCCGTTCTTTTTGAAAGTCCATTTTTTCATAGAATGAGATATTCAACGCTAAAACTACTGGATAAGTCATATTCAGAATCTTCTTATTTAGACTCCACTTTATCTTGAAATCTTTATTTTGAAAGTATTTAAATTATTAAGTTTCTGCGAAAGATTTTCAATGAAATTTGTGTATCGTTGTAATTTTGATAAACAATTAGAAACAAGTCATTGCTCGGTAATTTTAGTGTTCAGGGTTGGCGTTTGAATCGACTTAACAATATTGGCGAACTTCAATTCCGGTAATATTTATGAAACCATGAACATGAAATTTTATCATGCAATAATGGTGAACAAACCTGTTAAAAAGAATGAACGATGCTTTAGCTACAAATAGACTTACTCCACCTACAAAGAAAACATTTTAGCAATGGTATTTTACTGTTACACTTCTTTTAACTGAAACCACCATTGACGCCTCATATGTCAGTTTCCAGTTACTCTATTCCATTAAACCGACAAGCAAGCAATAATTTAATCCGCTCCAACTTGGAATATTTCAATCGAAATTTTACGTCGGCAGTTAAGGGTAGAGAACGTCCCTAGCATCCGCTTAAATTATCCGAAACGTTATTTTACGCGAGTATCTCACTCCACCGGGCTCCCAAATATTCCCCCCTGCTCGCGTGGACGCGAACCGGTTGGAAGGCACCCAAGTATATCGTCCGGGATATTTTCCGATCGGTAAAAAGCGGCCGCGAAAGGGAAACTGGGTAGACCGGGGCTTGTTTACAACGACGAGCGCCGTCTCGGAAGCGGCGTCTCCGCGAGAGGGTGGTTTTTAATCGCGGGCCGGTCCAACTTTCAGGCAGCGGTAAATTGAATTTCGACTCGTTCTACCGGGTGGCGTCCCACTTCCAAGAGGAGGACGACGAGGCGCTGCAGAAGGAGCTGAAGGAGGCGTTCAGGCTCTACGACAAAGAGGGGAACGGTTATATCCCGACGAGCTCTCTTCGAGAGATCCTGGCCGCCCTCGATGATCAGATAACGCCCGATCAAATGGACGGCATGATCGCTGAAATTGATACCGACGGATCCGGCACCGTTGACTTTGACGGTGAGTGTCGCCGTTTTTTAAATAAACGCACGCCTATCCTTCGGTCGATCTCTTTTCGGCCTCATCTTCATTGATGTCTAGAATTTGTCGGTTTTATCAAATGTATCCTGACGTTTTGCAAGTCTTCGTGAATCACTAACTCTGCCATAGAACGACGAGTGAGATTCATGACGAAGGTTTCTAGATTAACTTAACGAAACTCGATGTTGTTCGTTGATTATCGATCAAAGAATTATTTTGCTAGTATCAATTTATTCTACTCATATGAAATTTCTACTTGAAGTAGAATGGAAAAGTTGCATTTCTTCAGGGGTTAAGAGAGGACATTATTTGGAGACGTCTTAAATATAAGTAAACTTTAGGAATTTTTTGTTGATAACTATTAAGGGAGCACTTCTGATCTTTCTTGGGTGTATAAGTGTAGCCTGATTTATATTTATATTTCCAAGTCAAAATGTTACAAAATGGCGCAGTTATTCAATAGCTTTTACTCTATACAGTTAGCTTCGAATGTTTATAAGAAATTAAATAACTGAGATATGAGAAGTTTTCATAGTTATTAATAGAAAAATTCCTATAGTTTCTCTATTTAGGACGTGTCTAGGTGTCTCCCTTAAAGCAACTGTAGACGTCGAATATTTCATAGCAGTTCTCGCGGCTCTGAGACCATCGCGACAGATACTTATCGAGATAATTCCGGTGTCGAGAGGACTCTTCTGGCAGTAACGCAAACAAAGATTCGCATTATCGGTGGACGGAAGTTTTCGTTAGCCTCGACTCTATGGAGCTCGTTACGGCAGCCCGTGCGAGGGCTTGATTAAACCTCGAACGTCTTAATGCCGGTCTTTCAGCGCTCCTTTCAAAAAAGTCGGTGGGAGGCCGCGCATAAAGGGGCAAGGACGACCTACTTGCTGTCCAGGAGAAACATTCGTCGCGGTGGCGACGAAATTGAAAAGGGCGCGCGTTTCTCCACTCGTAATCTCCAGGATCGCGGCCCATTCGATAACGCGTGGCCGGTAGAATAGGCTCGTGACGCTGGAAAACTGCTACAATTATTATTACCAGAGTAATTCAAAAACAATTGACAACCAGTTCAAAATACAAGCAATTCACAGGTCAAAACGATTAATTCGTTTCCAAATAGCCTCAAACATTAGTGCTAAAGTTTGAATAATTTTCTGTAGCTTCGTCAAAACTTGTTTCCCGTTTAGTGAAGTTAATCTCCAGGATCGCGATACATTCGATAATTCGTCAGTGAGAGAATAGGCCTGTGAAGCTGGAAAACTGCTATGATTGTAACCAGAATAATTAAAAAACAATTGACAACCAGTTCAAAATACAAGCAATTCCCAGGTAAAACCGATTAATTCGTTTCCTTGAATAGTTCTCTATATATTCGTCAAAAAATTTCCCATTTAGCGAGGTTAATCGAAAAGAACGCGCGTTTCACTCCTCGTAATCGCCATAATCGCGGTCCATTCGATAACTCGTCGCTAGTAGAATAGGCCGGCGAAGAAAAGACTCGGCAAGAGAAGTTGCTCCAGGCCAGCGAGTCCCTCGCTAATTGCATCTGCTTTTTCCCGTCCCGCAGAGTTCATGGAAATGATGACCGGCGATTAAACGCGGGGCGCCTCTCGAAGACGCGGCGAAGAAGCCAGCCCTGCATTTCCATTCGACGATCCTGCGACGACCTCGGAACCACCACGGACTTCGATCGAGCCGGCCGGACAACGCTTCGGAACGGATCGAAGAGGCGCAGAGACACAGAGAGAACCGTCCTTCATTTCATTTGTACATTCGTTTGCGCGCCGTTTGTAACGACATCGTTGATCAAGTACTCGATTAAACGTCATCTCTAATGACCGCCGCCGGCGTTGTTTCATTTCACGAAAGAGCAGCGAGATTAACGACGTGGACGTCGATCGATGGCAGGAGAGACACGCGTTCGACGTAAGTTATGGGAGTCGAGCCGGAATCGACGGGCAACCATTATTCTCCCCGTCGCGTGATGAATTCGACGACAACGGCTCCTCGTTCTTATCACTTGCCGGAAGCTGAGCCACCCTTCGAACCGATACGATTTTTCTTGGTCCCCAATGACGAACCGTGTCGCGTCATATCGTGCATCCAGCTTTTCGCCGTAGGAATTCTATCAGACGCGAGAAACGTTCGTATGGGTTCTTAAATCAAAATTGGAACATAGTCAACATTCTTATAAAATAATTTCATTCGATACGTCATAAACGTGCTGCTGATACTTCCATTCATTAAACTAGCGAAACACTGATTGAAATCAGACCTCGATTGATTCCTAACGAGAAACTCGCACGAACTTTTTCTAGTACCCAATAAGAGCAATCGTGGATGAGCCAATTTATAGTGTAGATAACTATAGATAATCGATACCTAGCGAATATCAGATCCACACACAAGTTATGAAATTCCAGCACTCTTCAAAGAAAATTGATAACGCGAGAAAAAATCGTTCCCAAATGATGAACACGATCTCCGACAATCTCTCTCCTCCAGTTTCCCTGTTCAGCTGCCTAATAACTCTCTGTCCTCCTGGAAGCGAGAAAGTTGCACGGGATATTAATCAAGGATCACCGGCGAGCAAATCGCTGAGCTTGCACGATAGGAGCCGGGGTCACGTGTGCGGATTCCGCGAAGGCCGCCGATTCGATCAAGCCGGGCATCGACTCGTAGCTACGAGGCTGCCTCGTGCTTTATAGTTTCCCGATGTGCACGTATCGGCCGGCCGGGTTATCGGGGTCTATAGACAGGCGATATCGAGACCGCGCGACGCGGCGGGTCGAAAGTGCGCGTCGGCTTTCAAAGCCGGCCCATTGTTCGCCGTGAAAACCCTGTTAAAACGTATTCGAGCTAACGCGAGTGTAATGAGTGGGTCGGGGACGTTTGTGCATTTAAATCTGGGCGCACAATGCGCAGCAATTAAGCCCACTGTATCCGCCGCGATCGAGCCGTTCCAAAGAAACTCCCGTTCGATCCCCGAGATCCCGCTCGAGGAAATCTCGCGCGAAGAGCCAGTATCGCAACAACGCGCTAACAATGCGCTCTGGAACCGATTGTAGGTGTTGCCGAGCGCGCCCGCGGCCGTGAATTACAGCGAAAAGATATACGGAACACGCGCGCGGCATGAATAATACGCCGGCGTTCCCGGCCGGCGGACAGGCAACGCGGCGATGATCGTAAATTGTCATTCGCGCGCCGCTCGAAGGAAACGGAGTACGGGCTGTGGAGTCATTAATATTTCCAAAGGCTGCATGCATAACGAGAGAGGATTACCGCGGGTCTCTAACGACTTTCTATCTATTAGAGGGCACGCGGTATTACCCGCCCGAGCCGCCGCGAGCGGCGCGGCTCGTTTTATCCGCGAAAGAACGGAGTTCCAGACAATCAGTCTCGGATCCCGGGGCCGGGAAATGTCTCCGAAAGAGCCGCGGATGGTGGGAGAACGACGAGAGAACGAACGCCCGACGAAATCCTGCGAGAACGCCCTAGAATAGCCCGCGCCGACCTCTCTCCTTTCGTTTCCCGCTTTCGTCCCCTTTCCTCCGTTCGTCCTTCTCGCTTCTCAGCCTATCCTCGTCCCGCCCGGCTCCTCTGTTCGCTCCTCCACAGCCATGGTTACGGCTGCAGGCTTTGGTCCCGGCCGTTTCACCCACTCAAGTTTTAGTCCGAGTGTTCGCGAGCGGGATCCGGAAGCCGCTTCCGAAGGATCAATAATTGGGGCCGACTGCGACCGCCCTTGAAAAGCTATAGCCGGTTTGGTGAACGGGAGGATTGATACGTCGTAAAAGAGAGCGCCGAGGATTCGATGGATGATCCCGAGCCCCGCTGATAGATACAAGGGATTCGGTGCTTGTAATCGAAGTACGGATATGATCTTGTTCGAGGAACTTCCCTTCCTCGGACTTTCGCGGAGGTAAAAGGGGATCGGCTTTTCCCTTTTCGAGGCTTTGGGGATTGTAATTTTCGAAGATTACCAAGGATATCCGATTCGTGAGGGTGTTTCAGTGGAATGTAGAAATGTTGAATGCGTGTTTGTCGAGTGTAGTGTGCAACAGAGGGATCCGCGAGCGAAAGCGGGTCGAGGGAGAGGAATAAAATTCGTTTGTTCAGAGCCTCGTACGCGCGGGACGCTGTTCACCGAGCAGTAGAAACGGCCGGCCACGGTCAGACGCGCCAGCCGGTTTGCCTACGAGTTTCCAGGCTAGATTCCCCGGTAAACGAGGCCTGGAACGACCAAATTTCATTCTTTCTCCTCGCCTTATCTTTGTCCGCGGGACTCCGCCGCCCGTGGCCGCGCTAACCTCGAGGCTACCGAACAACAGAAGCGTGTCACCGCCGGGAACGCAGTCGAGGACTCGTTGCGAAAGGGGTGGTACGACTTGTTACGCCGCGAAACAAAAGGAAAAGGTATATACCCCCGCGAAGAGCAATTACGATAATTGCGACCTGGATTGTTCGTCTTTATACCCGTGACGTCTTTGTACGCCACGTTTCCGCTTCTCCGCGTTAGGGTCGCACCTGCGACTTTACCCTCGCCGGAAGCTTTCGCGTTTCTTTCGCGGGAGCTCGCCGGAATAAAATTCCGATGACGGTCCTCGCCCACCGGGAGGCCTTCAACGCGTGGACCAAGATGGCGCGATTTGAATTTCCGAGATTAACGTTCCGCCGAAAGTTCCGCGCAGCCTCGGAACAACGGAACGGAAGTTTCGGAACGAAGCTGAGTATCGAGTTTCGACGGGGTGTTAACCGAAGGATCAAGGTCGACGAAGGTCGAACGAATAACATCGCATCGGCGAGCGGAATGGAGCCGGAGGCTCGCGATGGGGACACGACGACTGGCGAAGAAGGGGCTGAATAAACGTGGAGGAGAATCGTAACCTTGAAACGTGTCACTGCACCTACGACGCAGGGTCTAGAAGCGGCTGGATACAATTAATAATTAAAGCAATGGCTACGACAACACCGGCGAGCAGGGTGCAGCCGGGCTATCGATCGTCGTCCTCAACCCGAACCATCCTCAACCCGAACTTACTGTGTGCTTTCCCCACTACTCTCCCACTCCCTTCTCTCACTCTCTCTCTCTCTCTCTCGCTCTGGCCGTTCTTCCTAGCCCGTGGACTCCTCTATTGCTTTTATATCCGACGACTACTCGTCAGAAGGGTGCTCCGAACGAGGGGCCTAAGATGCCATTCATCCGGACTCTCTTCAGTTAATCCGCGATCCCGAGGCTTTTTCGGCCCGTTTGTTTCCGAGAGTGGCCCGTTTGTCCCGAAAATGTATCCCGGCGGCTCCCAGTTCCGCCAGGACACCGACAGAGAGGGAGAAACCATAGTCCCTTCGTCGTTCTCCCGGTTCTCCGTTCGGGGAACGATTGATCGACCGCCGCCGAACGAAACCCGCGACGCGAACGGGCTCCTATCGATGGCTCCGAATGGAATACTTCCATCGAATCGCGGTTCTCGCGGATCCCTCGCCTATCATCCCCTCCGGAGACGTTCTCTTCAGCGATACCTATTGAATTTGTTCCCCGGGAACGACCAAGGACCGATATCGAATAATAGATTCGATGCTTCCGGCGGGCTGAGAGGTTATAGTCATTTGAAGCTTCCCGGGATAAGCCGTGCTCTATAGGAAAGTTATCCCAACTTTCGCCATTATTGCTGCCGGCTTCATCAGGGATCAAAGACGCGGCGATATTGGTTTGCAGCTGGAAAACTGCTGCAATTGTTGAGGCTGAGTAATTAAAAAAGAATCGGTCATCGCCGGTTCGGGATATAGGCAGTTCGAAGCGATTAACTCCGCTTCGCAAATGTTCATAAATATTAATGATAGAATTTGATTAGCTCCCTGCAGCTGCGACGAAACTCTTCGTTCTGCGGAGCCAATTTCCTTAAGCAAATGAATTTTTCTAGATACACGCGTGGATTATTTAGATGCACGTAACGAGCAACTATATGCAGCTGAAAAACTTTTGCAATTGGTGGCTGAGTGATTAAAAAAGAATTGGATATCACCGGTTCGGGATGTAGACAGTTCGAAGCGATTAACTCCGCTTCTCAAATGTTCTTAAATATTAACGATAGAATTTGATTAGCTCCCTGCAGCTGCGACGAAACTCTTCGTTCTGCGGAGCCAATTTCCTTAAGCAAATGAATTTTTCTAGATACACGCGCGGATTATTTAGATGCGCGTAACGAGCGACTTTCACCATGAAACAAAGAAGGTAACCGGGGAATAACGCTCGGGGGACGATTCGAAAAGCGCAGCGGTGCACCTTCGACGATCGCATTGCAGTCCAGCGGTGTTCTTCCAGGATAAAACGAATCCCCGGCTTCGGTTAGCTCGGAGCGGTCCCGCGCGTAATTAATATGCAAAGCCGCGGGGAACCGGCGGGAAACGATGACTGGAAGTCGAGACGGGAATAAATTACGAGGCGAGGGAGAAGAAGACGCGGTCCCGGGAACGAACCTCGACCGTGTTTCGAGCTTTTTACGCCTCGGGCTCTTCCCACGTCCCGCTGGTTCCCCTCAAAAGAGCATCGCCTGCCTTTCAAAGGAAATCCCTCGAGTCATTATTACTCAATCGCGCGGATTACTCGCGGAATGCCGAATCGAACGGTCCCGGCTGGAAATTACGGGTCTGTTTCCGGGCGGTGGTCTCCCCGGCGGCGCGTAAATAACGACAGCGTCGCGCAAACAACGCCTCGGCGTCGCAGCGTCTGCGAACTTGCGTCCGCCTAGCGATCCGTACGCGTGGACGACGCTTCTTACGTGTATCCGAAGAAGATGACTCGATGGTTAGTGGAACAGACTCGTACGCAAGAAACCTTGCGATCGTGTTAGGCAATTAGCCAGTAAGCCGTTGCGACCTCTTTCAAAAGTACCTGAAACGTGTCGCAAAACACGAATAATCGATAAACAATAAAGTAAATTACATCCGCTTCAACGAGTACACTCGTAACAGGAAGCCTTGCCATTTCTCGATGTACACGTTAAAAACAGCTGACTGGTTAATTCCCATGATCCAATCACTTAAACGTTCCCCGGTAACCATCGAGTCGTCCTCGTTACTTACTCTGATCCTCGCGCAAGAATCACTGCGAACTCGAGAAAGACGTAGAAGTAGAAGTAGTAGTAGAAGAAGAAGAAGAAGAAGAAGGTGAAGAAGAAGAAGGTGATCAGAAGAGAAAGAAACAGAAAAGGATGCACGAACACAGTGACAGCTAAAGAGGGTAGCAGGCGGACGAACACATGCAAACTCTACTGAATCGGCGGGTGGGACACGGATGCGGACGGGTCGTGCGCGTGGACTGCATGCCTCATTCAACATTCCTGCGTTCTCGCGCGCCGGATAGAGAGCCGAGTGAGCCAGCATGCACCGTTAACGGGACACCGTGCTCTACCGTTCCCCGCGTTCCTCCGTCAAAAGGGCTAACGATGTCGAGGGAGCCTACTGTTTCGCATTAGTCCGCGATAAAGCGGCGGTCGGTTGATCGAGGCTCACACCCCCACCTACATTGCTGTTGCCCCGGAACGCTAATGGTGTGGCGATCATGATATCACGGTAACATCGTGGCGAGAACCATTGATCGACGGTCTCTCGTTATCGAGACCGCTCTCGTTCTCGCAGCGGAACGAGAGGTAACGCGCGTCCTCTACGCATCTACGCACGAGCAAAATAAGACAGTTCTCTAAAAGAAATCTTCTAAGTCTCTAGCTATGTATATAATAGATATGTATATACATATATACACGCGTGTGTACACGTGTAATATATGTATATAAATATGGAGGTATATACGTCTGGCTAAAGTATATATAGCTAGAATTACACTAGAATCTCAGCTATATTGTGGATTATGTCAATTTTTGTTATGTACCTGGCTCAGGCTTCTAAAGCTACTTGTACTGGCGCTGCGGGCCTGTAAACACAAGTACAGTACAGGTCACCAATCACCACACAACACTGCAGTTTGGAAAAGTAGAAAAAATAGAGATACAGGTATAGTAAGTATAAAACGGACACACAGAGTAGACGGGGCACGAACGAGACAGCGGTAAATTGTATCGAGTGCGGGGGAGATAGATCGGAACAGGGGATAGTACAGTGGCCGAAGAAAGTGTAGGACACTCGCTCCTTTCGTAATAAGTTCACGCGAGCGGACAACCCGTCGATGTAATCTTAATCTCCTAGTGCGAAGTGCCAACGGTTGGCAAACGGAATTTATCGCTCGAACAGGCGACCAACCGTTGATCACTGGAATGCAGAGCTAACGAAGCAATAAGAGATCTAGATCGCATCGGCGCACAATTTCCTCGCGTAAAATTACTGCGGAAGGATACCGAGCGCTTAAATACGTTTTGGTGACTTACTACGTGTCGTTGGTGAACCGCGAGAACGTACGCGGACACAAGATGTTCCCAGTGTAGCCTGTAGATGCGACAATTAGGGGAAGGAACGTTGATGTCGCTGTTCGAACCGCTCCGACGTGGCGCGCCAGCGTGAAAAGCCACTCCGCGATGAATCCGAATCAACGTGTTCGAGGTTTACGATTGATTCATCGAAAGAACAGCGTAAGTTTCGCGGGAGAAGGCTTCTCACGCGCGGCGAGCGCGCACCGCGATGGACCGAGCGCGTGGATTCCGTTGTATCCGTGCGGTACAGCGTATCAACAGAGCAGTGCACACCGAACACACATGTACGGCGACTGCGCACGTTTGTCCGACCGAAAGGCGACGTTTCCCATGTGAAAAGTAGCACAGCGAAACCATGAATAACGGGGCGGACAGATTCGCGGGCGGATAACGATCGGAGAACGCTCCGACGACTAAGTGCGCCGAACAAAAGCGCGAGTCACCGTATGCACGACAGAGCATAGCGTGAGTTCTCAGTGTTGGACAGTCGCGAGGCCAGTTTCCGTGTCTGCCACAGTCGCAGGTGTTTAGCACGTTTTTCTGTACAACCAAAGCATACCAGAGAAGCGAAGAGACAGTGTCGCGTAGGAGGAAGAATAGAAAGGAGAAAGGGTTCGTGCTGATTCTTCGCGGACCTTCAACCTACGATCCGCAATTAGCGTCTCAATCGTCGCGTCGTCCGCATGAATCTCGATCCGTCCCCGGATCTGAACTCGATTATTCTCTGTACTTGCTTCGCAAAGATCGGAGCTCGTTCGATTCCATCCGCGCGATGGATATCAAAGAAAAGTGGCCTGCGGGGCTTCCATCAATTACACTCGGACAGACAATTCCAACGGTCCGCGATCCCGATGGAAAAATGTATCGAGCGTTCCCGGGAATAAATTAATTGGGTCGTCGGGACGCGATTATCCGTCGCGACGTACGCTGCAATCGGATTTCCATCGGAGTCGTCCTTTTCGCGCGCCTTATCAATTTATCCCGATTCGTGCTCGAGCGGCCGATGGATTTCAAAAGCGTACGTATTCGGCCTCGCCTTTCAGCCGAGTCGAAATCACGTAGCGAGGAGAGCGTTGCCGATCAAAGAGCAATCGCTCGAATCTCGGTCCGAGAGTTGCTCGATCGTGTGAAAGGGGGAGAAAGAGAGAGAAATTGAGGGAGGGAGGGAGAGGGAGGACGACTAGATGGGAAATGGGGACAGGTGAGGTGTGCTCTCGGTATTTCCATCGCGAGGAGCGAACGATTGAAACGTTCGGAACGCTTTAACGTCGAACCCGCCCCGCCCAGATTCGGCGATCGTTACGTTACGTACATACCTACCCGGTGTAAAAAGAGCGAGCGCGAAGCCCTCCGACTCCCGATAATTATTATCGCGCCGGGGTATTCGGAAGAAACGACGGCTCACGCGGGAACCGGTGTTTTCACGCTCGATTATATGCTCGTTACGCCGTGTAAGCGTGACGACGGCTCGATGTGTTTGCCCGTGTTTTTGCCCGGCTACCCGTTACGGAGGCCAGAAAACCACGCGATTCAAGGCTCCCCCCGGCGGAACGGCGCAAGAACGGCTAACAGAAACGTATTCGAGTTGTTGATCGACGGGAGGAGCCGCCTGAATGGTTCATTGATGATTATTCTGCCGATAGACTGCGCAGCTTCGCGTTTTCACGGGGATCTTTAACTGAACTTACGGTAATTTTAATTATATCAGTTTCATATAATTTATTAGTATTTGAAGTTTATCGAAAAAAGTAAACGTTATATAAACGGCAGCTCCGCCGAATGGAATTAAGCGTTAATTAAAAATTTCTGAATAGTTTCGCGTAGAGTGACGTAGAAAATGGAAAGCTTCTCTTTGCATCGTTATATCTGGAGCACTAGCTGCACGAATCTTCGATTCTTCAATCGAAAGGTAAATAAAGATACTTCAAACATCTATGTAACGTCGGAACTTTTTCATTAAATACCGTTCCGATGGCTTTAATCGAGAAATAACTCGTCGATCTGAAACTACGTCGAGGTCTTGTTAAAACCACGTCGCTCGGTATCAACTCTTTATCTATGGAAAACATTATTCCGTTTCGCCCGACCATTCCGTTCCCCGCGACTCCGCTATCGGAAAAATTTACGAACAGCCAACGAATATCCCGGGCTCCGTACCCGCAGCTCGAACCGCAGGTTCTTTAAAATGCGTGAAAAAAACGACGAAGGAGACCGCGCCACGGTTTCCCGCGGAAAAAGGAGGTTGCAGCGCGACCAATTGCACGGAAAAATCCGGGCCGATTCGCGCGAATGCACCGCGGGATCCACGGCGCGCGATCGCTGCTATCGAATTCCGATCGCGTTCGCCAGTTTCGCTGGAAATTCGCGGAGATTCCGTGGGAGCGTCGTTCGTACGGCGATTCCGGGCGACGGAAGAGTCGTCGGGACGTCGTTGCGTCGACGTTCGCCGCTCTCGTTTCGATCGCGGTGGCCGCACCATAGGAAAGGAACGGGTTGCGTCGACGCCCGCCGGGAACGGTACGCGGAAACGGTTTAATTGCTCGTGCGCGACGGAAGAAAAGCCGCGAAGGCCGTTTCCGCGGGGGACGGCGCGCTCCCTCTCCCCATAGGTCATTAAAATTCCAGTCGCTCGTAAACGCTCGCTAATTGGATGCTCGCCGCGGGAGTTGCGCGATGGACAACCGGGGAAATTTCGCGCCGCGGCCGGGCTGAAAATTTGCAAAACAATTACGCAACCGGAAAGCAATTTTCGCGCGCTCCCGTTAACTTCGACGCGAATAACTCGTGAACAAACGGCGCTGCGTCGAATAATGGAAACGCCGACGCGCTGAATGCCGCGCGATTTTCGTGCGTGCTGACCGAGGCGCCGGAGCTTTTATGATTCAGCGGATATGGTGTTTAATCGTCGCGCGTCGAGCGGCGGTGCAGTGTTGCGGGAAGGGGGGAGGGGTTCTGGAAGATTAGAACGGGGAGAGAGCGTGGACTTGTCGGTAAGGCTTTTTGGTTGATGCGCTTTAGACGTGTTTCAGACGCGGACGCGATTGTAGGATGTTTACGGTGTATGGTTAACCCTTTGCACTCGAAAGATTTTCACTGGAAATATTCAACATTTTCCGACGAGATGTAGACGACATTGTTTGAAACTGATTTAACGATAATTCACGGATAAATTAAGCAACAAAGCTGTTTTATTTAAATATTTCACACAGCAATACGAAGTTTCATTTAAAATACTGAATATGCAACTTCATAGTTTTGCTGTGTCAAATCAAGTGGTGACCGAGAGTCACCTCTAGAGTGCAAAGGGTTAAATAAGATAGTGTTTTAGAAAGAGGTTAATATTTGTGAATCACTAGTTACAGAATTTATTTAAGATTGCGTTTAAGGAGCAAGAGCATACTTAGAAGCATACAAGATTCGACACGATCTGTATATTATAAATGTAATATCACTGCGATTCGAAAGTAACAGAATGTTCCATTGTGCGATTACGTTAAATTAGAGCATAATATGCTGAACTATCGGTGACAGAGAATTGTGCTAAACTGGTATACCGTTTTAATACACACGAAAGCCACCATACTGGTGTACAGTAGCTAAAAGGTTAAGGAGGATTTATTATTAAACAATGAATGTTGTATACATAGTTGTAAAGGACTGAGCAGAAGCGAGAAAGGTTCTTAGCTGTCAGTAGCCCTCTATTGGCAGAGTAGGAAAGGTGCCGCCACACGAATCGCATCGTTCCTTACTGAATATCTCCGCTTTGCGATACAGTATTCGTAACTCCGAGGGAACTACGAAAAATTACTATTTATTGGAACGAAGTGCAATAATTTCATCAGGTAGGCGCTCATCGGTGAACCTCGTGTCGCCAGCAGAAAGTCGAGTGCCGGTCACCGGTGACCCCCGCGGGCATTCACCGCGTAACTCTGCTTCTCACGGCGACTTTATCTGATCGCGGCTAACGTTGACGCACGACACGGCAACTTTTGCCCGGGAAATGTCGGAATCTCGCCGCCCGAGCGAGGAAATATGTGTAACGCGGCGCATAGAGTTCCCGGAGCCCGATAACCGGGAACGACGGTGACTTACCGGGAAGCGAAACGGCCTGGTTAACGTAAACGAGACGCGATAAAACGGCAACGGGCCCGTCGGCCGGGCACCGGCTCACCGCCGAGCGGAGATACCGTGGCAGATGGTTTACACGTTGTTGAAGGCTTCGGGGGATTACCGTTTCCAAGAGGGCACCGAATATCGCGCGAGCGGAAGCTCGGTTCCGACGCGACACCGCGCTATCGAGGGGGAACACCTGGATTAAACGTAGTTTTCTATCTTGCGGACGTGTCTCTAATCTAATACAATGATCCCCGCCGGAATTTCGCGTAACTGAGAAGCTAGCAGTGAAATTTAAACGTCACTGTGCTTTTCGTATAGAATATCTAGGGCAACCTAGAAAAAACCGCGCGTTCCTGGTTGAAAGAATGGTAGCAACGTGAAACTTCATTTCCGGTGACTCAGCGGAATAGCAAAGAAAAGTGGAATTACCATGAATATCGTATTTAAATTATTGGCCCCTTGCGGACGAAGATTCGTTGATATTTACAGAATCTTCAACAGATGAAGCTAGATTACATATCAATTGCTTAAACAATAGAAGAATAAACTACGTGCTAACCTCGTGCTGTCCGAGGGATAAAATCATTTATCTGAGTCTTCCAAATATGAATGTTTCATCTAAAAATGTCGACGTTCGTTCGCAAAGGGTTAGATTTTTAACGCGTTTCCCGAGCGAAACGCTTCTCTAATCCAGACATTCTCCTCGGATTATTCTCCTCGCGGAGGACGTTCCCTCGGGATGTTCCATCTAGCCACAATTTCTCATAACCGTACACGGAATAGCGCGGCTTCCCTCGCGCGGATAGGGAATTTATTCTTATCGCGTCGACGCGGCGGAACGTCTCCTTTCATACCGCGAACAGAGAGCCCGAAGACCGCACCGGAAATTCGACTTTTAACCTCGCCGGCGATTGCCGGGCATCGCGCGACCGGCTGCCGATTGCCACTTAATTATCCTGGATGTGGGAATTGCGGAAAGGGCGGGCGCGGTTCCGCCGGCGAAAGAATCGGACGGCTGGAACAGTGGAAAGTTCGTCGTCCGGTTAAAGGCGGATTTAATTTCCGGCCAGCGGCCGGGGCACGGCACTACTAACGAACTTTCTTATCGTTCCTACGGCTCGTCGACGTCCGTCGTGCCGGCTAACTGAATTTCATCCCGGGACGACTATGGTTACTGCGTTTAATATGTCCGCGGAATCGTGATGTTCATCTAAGAGGGCTCGGCATGGAAATACACGAAAAGTCTCGGCGAAATATTGAATCCGACGGTGAAGCTATTATTCCTGTGATCGCTATTCGTTCATTATCCCCCCTGTTCCACTTAACCCTTCGCGGACGAAGATTCTTCGAACTGTACAAAACCTTCAGCGGATGAAGCTAAATTACATATGTAGTATCTAGAATATTTAGTATGCGTAAGGGCGACCAGGGCGTATTGCGATTTAATATCAGATTTCAGAGTTTTACTGTATGAAATCAGGTGGTGAGGGTTACCTTTCGAGTGCAAGGGGTTAACCTCTCGCCATACCATTTAACCGGGCAAAATCTGGGCTACAATTATGGCGACTGATATCTCACTCGTGTTGTCACCTCGAGTCGGACTCGCGATATTTATGTGTGATCCAATATTGTTATCAACCTCGTTAAAGTATGGCAAGGGGTTAACCCTTAGCACTCGGAAGGTGACTCAGTCCACTTGATTCGACAGTGAAACTATTGTAGTATCTAGAATTATTTAGCGTAGGTTAAAGTATTGTAGGATGAATGGTTTGTTGTGCGTGCGTAAGGGCGACCAGGTCGTATTGCGACGGACCGGCGCCGGGATGTTTGGAAAATAGTGTGACTGCGTTTAGAAATTCTCGAGTGGCTGAAAGAATGCGAGGAAGAGTGTCTGGAACTGAGCGACTGGACCGTGAGGAAAGCGTGTACGCGACTGCGTGAATTTTGACTATGGACGAAAGATGCGAGTGAGAAGGGTGCAATGGTGAGAAAGACAGAGCGAATGGGGGTGTGTGTTAAAAGCGAGTGGGAATGCGTGCGAGAAGGACATTTTGGTGAGAGACAGCGGAGAAGAACATTTTTGTGCGTGATAGAGAGTCGTGTGTCGACCTTCGTGGTATTAAGTTGTATTTTTACGTGTTGTCCATATTGTTTCCTAATTCTCTTTTTACTGAAGATCCACCTTTTCAATATCTATAATAATAGTAGCCCCACTATAAAATTGGGGGCTCAGCCGGGATTACTATACATATGAACCTCTTAACCTGTTAACTGTGGAATTTAGTTTCAAATGTCTCTTTTGCGTGAAATAAAGTGAAAAAATGAAGTGTGTAAAGTGAAATGCAGGATGAATTAGACTAGGGTACATTTTAATGAAAAATCAAAGCGAAACGAAGAAGAGTTAGATGATCATGTGAAAAAACAAAGGATTCATCGTTGAAAGAATTAGCATACTTTGAAGCTTTAAGATGACGTGTATACTCGTCAAACGCAGTTAACTGGTTAAGCGACAGAAAACAGAGAAACTACTTCTCTTGCTGTTCGAGTACTTAAATCATTCGTTCGCGACTCAGTCTTCGTAACATAAACATGTCATCTCGCCGAGACGTCGACATTCGTCCGCAAAGGGTTAAAATAATCCCGAACTTGAAATTGATCCTCAATTACAACGTTAAACACAGGCGTCCCCGATCTCATCGATCGCATTGTTTCCGGCGAGAATTCCCGTCGAACGCGACGCCCGTTTCTTCGCCGCGGTACGAACGCCTTTTCACGAATACCACGCGCGAAGTATTACCTGTTGTGAATAACGAACTCGTTAGAATCATTACGACCGGCCCGCTTTTCCGTTTCAACCTCGGGCGTTTCTTTCCGTATCTCCGTCGCTTCTGTTGATCTCATTAAACGAATAAGTAAATAACGTTCCGCGCGGGCAAAAGAATTTCGCGTTCGAGCCGCGGCGGGAGATTCTTCTTTCGGCGGTCCCGTTCGCCGGCCACATTTTCCTTAGGCTCGTTAACGCGGTCGCAAAAGAGGACCGAGGAAACGGGAACGTAAAAAGGACGCTCCCGGCGTTATCGTATTAAATGACGCGCGTTTAGCGCGCCGCTGCCCTCATTACTATGCACCCTGCGCCTCGGCGCCTCCTTTGCCCCGCGGTAACCTTTCCCAGGTGCGCGTTCGCTTTCCAGCCGGTGGCCTGGCCGCGAATTACATTCGCGTAATCTGCTCCTACGGGCAAGAGATTCATGCGGACGTTTTCTCCGACCGTTAACCCCTTGCCCTGTGATTTCCTTTTGAAACTCTGCTCGACGGGACTGGCTCGTCGTTGATAATACGACGGAAACGAACAGAATCCCTCGGTAATTCGAATAATTGCTTTTCTTTAAAGCAATCAACGACGAAGGGATATTTCATTTGAATCGAAACGAATTGGACGTCGATTATTGAAACTCGAACGCGTAGAAGTGAGTATTACTTACTGAAATTAGAAGTCAATGGAATCGGACGTCGCTTAATGGAATTCGAACTCGAAAGAACTGGATGTCCGTTATTGAAAGTCGAATTAAAAAGGAATCGGACGAAATTTAAGTTCGAAAGGGTCGAATATCGCTTATCGATAGATCCGTCGGAGGACCGACAAGATACGGCAAGGCAAAGGGTCAAAGGAATTCTCGGTGGCGCAATTTCTGGATCGCGGCACGCGCGTTTCGGTAGCCGCCGATGAAAATCGTACGAGGGAGTCGCACCCTCGAGGGTTTCGCGTGCACGATCGAATCGCGGCCGTGACTCACTTCGTGTATCGTTCGGAGTCGCGGGAATTTTTTATGGTTTGTCAAGTATCCTGCGGCTGTAAAAATGGACACGCGTCGCGGCTCGATAGAATCGTTGATCGAGGCTGTTTCAGATAACGCGGCGATACGTCCGAGGCATGTTAGTATTATTGCTGTTACTCGTCTTTATTGCACAACCGGCGCACGGCTCGCTTAGAAAGTAGTAATGGGATATGAAAAATGGAGAGGCTTACGGCTGAATATTACAGCCGTACTACCCTCGATAAGAAAACATTCGATAAAACAAATTAGACCAGAACTACAGAATAATTTCGTTCTACGGAGAAAGGACGGAATAAAACGAGAAAAGTGATTATACAAGTTTCGCTTCCTCTTAACACGTTCTACATGTTAAATGTGCAATAAAGACGTGTTATTACCATTATTACCCTAAATAATGTGCAGCGTCACGAATAATGCGTGACAAGTACAACGGATGCAGGGTGCGGGAAAGGAGCGGGGAGAGATTTGTTCACTCGATCCGTGAAGCACAGTGTGACCAATCGACAACTCTGTACACTACATCTCACGCGTGTGCCGGTTGAAAAGACAGTGGAGCGAATGGTACACGGCGCAAGGGTGAACGGATTCGTTCAACCCGTCGCCGAGGAACGAGGAACGGAACCAGGCTCGTTTGCGAATGGGATCACGTCGAGTTACCTTGCTCCTGTTCCGCGGCGCGAAGTCCTCTTTGCTGGCCTTCCGTCGCTTATCCTTAAGGATCATTCTCGCCGCGGCGAACGCCATCCTGCCGGCGCACTTCCTCTCCCTCTTCCCTGAGAACTGTCTGCCCCTCGGAGCTCGAGGAACCACGGAGCCGCGTGCCCGACGATCAATCACCGCACAGCGAAGACAAACCACAGCCGTAACACCCGAGCGTCCCGCGAGTCGCGCGGATACTTACGATTGACGAACGAACCGGTAATTTATCTTAATTCTCGTTATTGCTCTGCCCGATCACTGGACTATCCGTCTCGCGAGCGACGAGACAACGTACGGACGATTCGATCGTACGATTGACTGAAATTCTCCCTCGACACCGGGTTCGCGTGGCTTCCTCGCGAACAGCGGCTCTTCTACGCTTGGTAACGAGTGTATATCACTTGACTAAGTAACTAGTATCGACGTCGTCTCAGCTCCGGCCGACGCAGTCGTTGAGCCTTGCTGCTTTCCCTTCTGCTCGCGATCGAAGGAGACGAGGATCGTTGAACACTATCGATTGCGATTTTGAGGATAAACACAGCCAGAGGTTATCGCGGATTGACTAAGGTTCTGCTCTTCTCTCTTCTCTCCCCGGACGCTCCCTCCCGAGCTTCTATCGTGAAATCGACGGAACGGACGAGCGACGACTCGCGTCGCCGTTGCTCTCTTTGCCGGGCGCTTCTCGCGAGTAGCTCGACGTCGGGCTCTCACGGAAGCTCGACGAGGACATTTGCCTTGTCGATCGGGTCACCGTGATCTCCGGTGGGTTCCTCGTCGCCGACGTCGTCGATTCGAATCAGCGAAGTGTCGTTCGGCCTCGATCCTCCCGGCGTTCTCTTCTTGTCAGGCGTAAAACACTTGTGTACTGGGTCCGTCGGACGACTACATTCCAGGCGACACGAGCCGCGACTGATGCGTCCTCATGGCTCGATCGATCGACGGTTAGCTGTCGCAATTATGGCCATGGATCTAGAAAGATACACCCTTCGTTGAGCGACTCTCGCGTCCCGCGACCGACGTCTGTCCCGATCGATCCTCGTCCGACAACCGTGTTCCCGAACGAGGGACTGCGGTCGCGCTGCCTGCTCGTCTCAATGATTAAACAACCCTCGATCATTTCGTTGCCCTTGGGCCGGGGACACAGAAATCAATTTCATATCTTTAATACTCCTGTTTTGTAATTAATTTCCTGGGGAAATTGATGTCTTTGTCATTGAAGGAAAGCGTTTCAGTTTAATCTACAGTTTCGGATGGTGGAAAGTACAGTGCTAATACTTAGCGTATAAGGATTTCAATGATGATTTATTTTCTACTCAATGATTAAACAATCCTTAATCACTTGACCTTGAACTAGGGACACTGAAATCAATTTCATATGTCTAATACTACTATGTTGCAATTCATTTCCCGAGGAAATCGATGTGTTTATCAGTGAAAGGAAAAATTTGATTGTAATGTACAGTTCCAGGCAAAAATTACAGTGCAACGTTAATGTCAATACTCAGCATGTAAGAATGTCAATGATAATTCATTCTCTACGAAACTGATGTAATTGTTTCTATATAAAAGGTTCTTTCGATTTGAACCTACAGTTTCTTACAGTAGCTCAGCTAATGACAGAAATTCCAGAAACGTTAATGCCAACGCACGATTGGCAAACAGAAACGTAGGCCGCCGTCGGAAGCTTGAAATTATCGCGAATTACGGGAACTTCCCCTCTTTGATTTGTTGCCAGTGCACACACCCGAATTCCACCGTCGCGCCGCCGGTCGAGAATATTTCCTCGAGAGTCGAAGCTGTTCGCTTCCCCGTCGCGGCTCGCTTTCCCTTCTTCCTCGGCGAAAGGAAAAAGTGTACGAGTCTCGACGAAACGAGAGAAAAAAAGAAAAACGAACGAAGAGAACACGAAAAGCGGAGAGACCGCGCTCGCGAGCTTCAAAGCGCAGTCGACGAGTCCTATCGGGCGGTGACGAGCACGCGGAAGTAGAATGCCGCTCGCGCGGCGTTTGTGTCTGGCTTCAGCCGCGAAACTTTCCTAATTAAATTCGCTCGCCCAACGCCTCGATAGGTTTCAGCCGGGAAAAAATCCAGCGAAAGCTGAAACGAACCCTTTTCACACCGCGTGCCTCCACTCTCGGGCAAAGGAGATGAAAGATTCGAGTGGCGAGCCTACAAACACCGCTTACGCGGAATAATTCGCCGCGCGGCGGGCTCCCCCGCGCCTCGTTCATCCCCGCCTAAGAGCGGAATAAGGAAACTCGCTCGCGGAGCATCTCTTTTGCTTGTTAATAAAACGAGGTTCCATTAACCCTCGGAAGTTGGACGTTCCCGAGGACTTGAAAAGTTCCAATTTCTTGCCGGAGATATTCCGATTCTTTTTTATCCGCTTTCACCAGCTGTTTCTCCGAACGTACTTCGAAAGATCTTATTAACTCTAACATAATCAGCTCGAGCCGAGTATCCCAAGGTGAGACGAATAAAGTGTCCGAAAATCTGGGCCAAAGCGGACCCAGACGTCGAACGGTGAAATACTAGCTTGGATTCGGAGTTCGTCCAAGAGAGAAATTCCTCGAAGAGAGATTCTTTTCAATTCTGAAGCGACTAGAATTCACCGAGGACGGAAGAACGCCACGGAAAAATTACCAGAGCGTCCCATTCGCGCGGAAGATGGAACGCAGCTGTTTCCGGCCCGCTCGCCGACGGACACCGCATACATCTTCGCCGTCGGGGTCCGCGCGGCAGCGACGGGCGGGCTCCGTTGCGCGACGGATCGCAACGGTTCCGTGGCAAATGGGACCCCCACGCAATTAGGGGCGCACGTCGGCCGCGTAATTCATGTTCAGCTCTGACGAGTCGAAAATTCCGCGGGATCCGTCTCGGGCAGCACGCGTCACGGGAACGGGTGAAGTTTAAATCGATGCAGCGGACCGTGTTGCTCGCGCCTAATACGGGACCGCCTGTCCAGGACGTTCTATGGAACCTAGTTTGCGGGACAGAGGATTCGGCTATTCATTTGCTGGACGTGGACCCGTTAAACGGCTGACTTCACGTCAATATCCATCCGGTGCACAGATTAGGAATAATCTAGTCTCGTGGAGCAGACTGTCGTCGCCGAAATATCTATGATTCTTTAACACTGATACTTAGTATATACCTATTTACGCTGGTAAATTTAACTTCAAATAATTGAATACGAAACGATAAACAAGTTGGACGAAGAATGTGTCTTATTGGAAACTGGACGAAAGACGAGAATTGAGAAACTGATTGAATAATATAGAAATTCATGTAAGGTGAAATAGAGAAGAAAGTAACTTGAATCAAATTTTCTGCTAACTGCTTAGAATAACTCGACAGCGACTGGTAAGGAACGAGCTTTATTATTTCAGTATTAAACAGAATACGATTAACTTTGTTCGTTTCAGTGGAAGCCTATCGATTTATCTTCTTGGTACCGTGTAAAAGCGCAACACGAGTTCACCGATAAGTAATTAATTCGACGGAGCTAATTAGTAAGTCATGGACGGCGTCGCTGAAAACACGCGGCCGGTGTTAAATGGAAACGGAAATACGCGAAAGCATCGTTAAAACTGCAATCGGCCGCCGCGTTGTTACAGGTTGCCTTCCGAGGCGTGGCCGCGCACGTTCGTCTGGATCTACTTAATCGATTCCGCACAGGGACCGGGCGCGCCGCTGGCCGGCCCACCGAATTTCCCGTGGAAAGCCCGGCAACTCGGCGGCACCGGAATTTTTTTCCGGCTGTAACTGGGAAGGACGTCATACGCGGATCGCGATCCGCCCGTCTCGCGGTTACGGTTCTCGTGTGGAGGTTAAATAAATTGTGCCCGTTATCGATCGGCCGGCCGTAATCTGGAAATCAGACACGCGCGAACGTGTGTTTCCATGAATCCCGTCCGATTTCTATCGCCGATGACACAGCTCCGCGCCGAATCCTCCGCGGAATATCGAGCGCGGAATGCAGCGGGACCTCGGTCGACCGATTTAATTTGACGACTAACGGACCGAGTAAATTGAGGACTGAGAAGGCGATTCTCGAAATGTGTCTTGTAACGTTCGATGACGTTCGATTGTGAGGTGCGAGTCGGGGATGTGAGTTGCCGAGGTCTGGTTCGAGTGATGTTGTGGGTGATTGCGGGAGATAGGAGGTAGAAGGAGATGGAAAGGTTGAAGATAGAAGATAGAAAGATAGGAGGTTG